ATGCAGGCCATCGCTTCTGCTTCCAGCATGGAAGGTGCGCATTCTCTTTCCGCCTCGCACACCCGTCCTTCCGCCGTGTGCTGACACTTGCACGCCACGCCCTTTACGATGACTGCCACCTTACGCTCTCCACTTTTCTTGCCGACCTCCCACCGTCACATTATTCCCAAATCCCTCGTGCGTGCCACCTGTGTGCGTGGGTGTATGTGATGCAATGTGGGCAACTTCTTCTTCTCAGGGGCGCGCTCTTTCTTCCGCTCGCTGGACGCCGCCATCTTCCTCTTCTCGCGCGTCTCCAACATCCCACACCGCAGCCTCGTGCTGCCCTGTGTCTGCACCAACGACCGCTTCACTCTCGGCGCCGAGCTCTTTGTAACCACACACCCCCCCACGCACCACTTCCTCCCTTTAGTCATGCCTCTCATGCCACCTGCCATACTGACAAAAGCCGCTACCCATCTCTTCACCCCCTCCATTGCCTATCAGTGCAGTGTGACCCACATTGGCCCCGCATTAGCATTGCATGGCCATGCCATTTCTCCTTCCACTCACTCCAGTGATTTGTCCCAGTTTTCATCTAATCCCAGTATCCCTCCACTGTGTCTTTGTGCGTGCAACCGGCCCTTCCCGTATGCGTGTTGGCGCACCACATGGTGTGGGCATCAGGACGGCAGCATCATCCGCGGGCAGAACGACATCTCACACCCCGCTGTCGTGGACAGCCCACGCCACCTGTTGCTCTCCGTTGACAAGGTCGCCCTGCTGCCACCCCCCTGCTGCAATGCCACGTCTGCACGCCTTGCCGCCGCCCCTCACACCCACACACGTCCACCACCCAGGTTGATGGAGCGTGCCTCACGTGTGCTCCTGCTGCCTGTCTTTCTCTCCCTTTTCCTACCCGCATTCTCTCTGCAGTCTTGTGACGCGTCGCCTCCTCTGCCCGCGCCCATTCGCAGTGTGTTCTACATGTCGAGTGAAGGCACCAACCTGCTGCATGAGGTGCGTGCCGCCTGCCATGGGCTCACCTCTATGCCGCCATGTGCGCCACCTACGGGATGCTACGAACAGCCAATTCTTGAAAATGTTGCATCTTGCATGTACCATGTGTGGAACTGAGGCCCGTAGCTGCCACCTTCCATCACCGTGTGTGGGGGTCACGGTGCTCGTTGGTGTGTGGTGTGTGTCAGGTGTTCCCTTGTGTGAATCCGCGAGTGCTGGAGCACATGGCATCAGTGGATGCCATCATCTATGGCATAGGCTCCCTCTTCACCTCCATCTGCCCCTCCCTCGTACCTACCTACACCCCTCCTTTCTTACCACCTCCTCGTCTTCACCATTTGTGTTCATCTCCCTCACTTCTTGCTCCTGTCATGCTCTCACTTTCGCTGTTTTATGCCAATAGTTATCCATTTATGTCTCCCATTTTCGTTGCCCTCACCACTGTCCCGTCTGCAATCCCTTTCCCCCGAACCTTAGATCTTGCGACGGGTGGGAGAAGCAATCGCCGCACGAGCATGTCCCAAGGTATGGCCGAGTGCACCAGAACATCCCAAGCGGGAATGCTCTGCTCTGTTGCACACCCCATCAACTCTCTGTGTTCCTCCCTTGCCATCCTCCCTTTCACCGGATCTTTTTTGTGCGGGAGAGCGTGAGTACAGAGAGAAAGGCTCTCGGTGGCATCACATGTTGTGGAGCATGTTCCCCTCGTTTGCCCCACGTGCGCATGGCATGGCTGCGAAGGGGAGGGGCGCGACGGGGCCTGCTAGGGGCGTAATTGGCTGGTGCGGCTGGCTGGCGCGGCTGCGCTCAGGGAGGGTGCACTGGTCGGCACGCAGGTTGCCTCGGGCTAGGGCAGGTGACGCGCCGCCAAGGGCAGCGGTGGTAAAATTGCATATGTAGATTGAAACGTACGTATATCAATGTTATCTTGTGTCCTGTTGCTGATCCTAGCTATCTATACATGGCAAGCCATGCTACATTGTCGTACGGTACCTGGCACGGAAGAGCTTATTTAGCAACTGCACTAACGTACAGAATTATCCCCTTGTACCTTTCCGCCTTGCAAACAACTCTAATGCACACATCCTGACCCAACTCAGCCTTTCCCGCTGCCCGCTCACTTCCTCTTTCTTTTAGGAGCAACAGTCTTGGGGAACGTGAGGGGCAGCCGCAAAACAGCGACAGTCTCCACGCCGGCAGCAGCACCTCCCCTTGAACTCTCGCACCCCATCTCCCTCAAATGCTTCATCAATATGGGTGCAGCCATCTTAAGGTCAGCTGCGAGCGCAACGAGAGGCAGGCGGAAGGCTGTGGCGTGCAGAGCGATGGCAGCAATGTAGCTGATGAGCAGCTGCTTGAGGCGCAATGGGAACTTATACCTCTTGCCACCTACGTTGTGCTGGTCCTCCGCTTCCGCACGAAATATCTGAGGCAGGCGGGCAGCCGTCAGAATGGGCATGCCATACTCCTTTGAGATAAGCTCAGGCGAGGGCAGGGAGGATGAGGAGGAGGGGTGGGAGGAGGCAAGTGTGCGCAAGGCACTGGCGTGCAGGACGGCTTCGGGCATGTGCAGCATGAGCACGAGGAAGTGGATGTGCAGCAGCAGCCGTGCGTAGTGCGCCTTGGATTCCCCCGTCTTGGTCTGCGTGGTGGAATAAAGGGACACACGGAGAAAAGTGAGGACCAGGTGCATGGGATGGCGTAAGCAATGAAGTTAGCAACAAACGAATGCTAGAGGGAGCATGAGCAACCACCACTTGGCATGACACCAGCCACCACCTCTCACGGCACCATGTTGCAGATCACAGCATCACGCCATCTCACCAGCAGAAGCCCCAGTCGCTCCTTCACAAACGTGGGCAGCGCATTCAACAGCTGCAGTGCCGCCTGTTTCGTCTTAAATTCCATTCCAATCCCTTCTTTGTCCTCCTCCTCATCACCCCCCCCTTCCCCTCCTCCCGCTCGTTTCTCGCCTTGAACAAGGCCCTTGGCCTTCTGGTTCTTCCGCATCTCAGCCTGCAGGGCAGCGGCGGCCAGCAGCACAGCGACGTCTGTGCACTCCCACTCCTCGCGCGGCACCAGGTACGCCAGCGGGTATGCCTCCTCCACCTGCGTGGCTGCAGGGTTGTGTGGAGGCAGGTAGCTCGCCGCGCTCTGCTGCGCGTCCAGGTCCTGCTGAGTGAGCGCGAGCGGCGCCGCGGCGGCGGATCGCACAAGGTGGCCCAGGGCGTCGCTGGCCTTGAGCGACTCGCCGCTCACCTGCCCCCGCTCCGCTGCTGCCACCTGCACCGTGCCGTCAATAGGACAGACGACGGGTTGCACGGGCAACGCACCACGAGCGCTTTAAGCGACGCACATGGAACAAGGATCATCAAACAACGAAGCCAGGTTGACCTGAGGGAGAGAAAGAGCAGAGGAATAATGAACAGCGTTCGGCAGCAACGGAGACTCACCCTGCTCTTGCTCTTCTTGCTACCGAACGTCGCGGTGAGCAGTCGTCGCTTGCGCATGTCCTCCTGGTACTTGGCCAGACTCGAGCTCCCGCCAGACACGGGCTCCGCCGTCACCACGCTCGCTGTGCGCTCGTCCGCCGCGCCCACGGCGCCTCCCGTGTGGCGCTCCGCGTCGTACGCCACCGCTTTCACGCGCGCCTCCATGCGCACAACCTGCCCGCACGGGCGGGAAAGAAACACGCAGCCATGAAATCAAGCTGGGGGCCACATGCGAGGGCGGGGAAGGCTGCACATGATGGTTTCAGTTATCGAGTTCTCCCTCGCAGCCTCTCCTACGCTCTCGCTAAAGAAACCTCACGCAGCCGCGGGTTAGAGGCGAGTGTCTTTGGCGATAAGTGGAGGTGCAAAGCCCGACGCCACACACACCTTAGGCGCGGCGAGGGGCAGCAGGTGCAGCTCCTTGCTTTTCCGCTTAAACACGCCCAGCACCAGCGACGTGCCCAGCTGCCCCGCCGCAGCCGCGCCGCTCACGCCCCCCTCGCCGTCGTCATGCGTGCGCCCCACTAACCACGTCGCATCCGTCTCCCCCAGCAGCACCTGCCGCACGCCGCCCGCCCGCGACGCCGCGCCCTGCAGCACCCGCAGCTGCACCTTCTGCCTGCCTCCCGCCGACTCTCCGAGGCTAGAACTCGTCGCAGCATGGAGACTGAGAGCGCCGTCGGTGACTGTAGCGGAAGGGACAATGGCGGATGCCTCCACCGAAGACGCGGAGATAAATGCTGGAATGGCCCCTAGAGGTAAATGCGCGACAAAAGGTGGAAGCTCCACCGGTTGACCCTGCTCCACTCGAAGAGTGAAGGACGTGCGCTGCTGGTCTGGATCCATCGAATAGGTAACAGAAACCGCGAAATAAGTTGTTCACTTGGAACTTCAGTGGCCCCCAAGGTTGGGTGGAAGCACTTTTCCAGAACCCTGAACCTAAACCCAGCACATGTGAAGGTGCTGAAGTGCTTCTGACCTCGGAACACCACTGCATGGTACAGTTCGGTTCCTTACGTTTTCCTGAACTGTGCACTTCTCCAAGACTTCCAGGTCTAGAATGTCTTAGAGCCTTACTTATTTATTTATTGCCATCAATAGACGAACCATATTCCTTAAGGATTCTAGGAAACGATTGTCTTTTATAATCCGCAATCTGCCCTCTTGGGCATAAAATAAACTGTTAATTTGCGAAACGAACCAGGTGTTCTAAGAATTTTCCAAAATGTGAACGTTCTTCTATTCATGAATGTGTGTATTATATTAGTCTAAAAATATAAGGGAACATCTGGTATCAACGTGTATCTGACTGTGGGTGGAGATAAAGTACGAGGTGTGGCTGGATCAATGCCATGTCACCATTCTCCAAACCAGACTTCGTTGCAGCCTACAAGTCAGGCCCACTTTCGCCCTTTCGTGCGTGGCGTTGCGACGAAAGGATGGATGGCTGACGCTCTGCCTTATCCGTGAGGCTCTTGCGAAAGAAAAGGGAGACACGTGTCATCATTCAAAGACAGAACTTTCCGTGCTTGGGGAGAGTCTTCGGGACAACTTCAGCTGCAATCCAATTTAGCCAGCGCGGTTAGCAAATGCGATCCCCAGTGGAAGAAGCTGAGGGGTCGTTATCTGCCCGAGGTCAGAAAAAAATAAACCCCATCTGGATGGCATGCGATTAGGGGAGCCCCAACCCTAAACACGGGGAGCCCCAACCCTAAACACGGGCAGCCGCATGATTCTGCCCGAAAATATCGCATTTGCAAACACGCACTGGGAAAATTGGATCGCAGTTCGAATTGACCGAGAGTCTTCTGGATCTCATGTTGGTGTGGTTCGTCTGCTCGTTGTGGGGCATGGGTGAGGTAGGAAACGGAGCACTTGACTCAGCACCGCAGCGGAGCAAAACCTGTGTGGTCGCGAGCGCTTTCCACACCTGATTGGTCGAACACAGGCTTTGACGGGTGGTTTTCCCCGCTGTATTCAGCTCCACCTTCCTCTCTTGATGTTTGTTTTCGTTTTCCGGGAACCCTGGATCTTAATATTTCCTTTATAAGTACCCCGTTAAAGGCCTCAGCAGGTGATACCTTTCTTCTCATCAAACCTGTGGGGGTCTGAAATTTTTATGAATTGAAGCTAATCGTGGTTTAACTTGGAAAGGCTGACCTTTCAAGGGTATCAATCTAGACTCTCCTCGCCCAGCGGTTCTCTCGCATCCGCTCCCGCTGGCAATCCCCCGGCCAGTCACTTGGCCCCTCCACCTGCTTCCCGCATCTAGAGAGACTAGCTCACCGTGCTGTTGTGCTCTGATTTGAACCAAATCCTCCTTCCAAGCACCACTGTTGTGCCACTACATTGAACCTCACCTTTTGGAAACGTTGCTGGTCACGGACTGATTGAGGGCAGTCCCGTAACCTTTCTGCACCTAGCTGCACGGTACCCGGGACTCAAACCATCAGGCAAACACGATACCCAAGTCTGCTGCGGCAGCTGTGGGCTCTGTGGAGGTGAAGGCTGCGTAAGGTCAGGCGCCATGGAGACCACTGCGAGCTTGGCAGCGCGCCCGCTTCCCTTACTTGGAACAGTTGAGCCCCGTGCAGGTGGCCGATTCAGTAGCCTCGATGCACTTTCTGCTCGGCGGATTACCATTGCCACTCGCACGAGTCTGCCGGGTAGGCCGTGGCACGGCAGCTGCAGAGTGCGCGCCGAAGTCCCTGCTGACGCCAGCGGCGGGAGCAGCGGCTCTGTTGCGGAGAGTAGCCAGTCGGTGAGGTCCTCGGGCAATGAGCGCTCGGCTTTGGCGGAGCGCAACGAGCGACTGATGCGCATGCAGAAGGAGCTGCTGGATCAGGTAAGGCCCGCCGTGCAAGTCTAGTATGCAAATTGCACCTACGCACTCGTATTTTTTTTTTTATTTGGTTGTGTCACTCTTTGCTCCTTCTCCCTGACACCAGCAATTAATTTGTTCTCGCTGACGCTCCCCTTTTGCGTGTTCTCGGGCAGCTGGAGGAGCGGCGTAAGCTACACGCCGCGTTATTGCAGTCGCTGGACACGCCAGCTGCCACCATAAAGGCGTTCAACGAGTCGGATCGCGGGGGTCTCCCACCCGTGTCTCGCCAGGACCTTCAGCCCGCATCACCAGCTCGCCTCGCCCGTCCCCCTCCTGCGTCACCCCCGTCGCTTCCGCCAAGGGCTGCGCCTGCACCCGTCGCCCCCACTGCTACTGCTAGTGCCCGCGCACCCCCTGCTTCGCCTAAACCCGCACCCGTTGCTTCGCCAACCCCCGCAGCAGTAGCCAGCAGCAAAGCGCTGTCGCTCCCGGTCAAGGCGCCCTCCTCATCGACCCCGTTGCGCCCGCCTGTCGCCCGCACGTCCCCCGCTGCCAAGCCCGCGACGTCTCCCGTCGCTATTCCTTCCAGAATGCCACCTCCCGTCTCTCCTCCCGCCTCTACCCCCCCTCCTCCCGCTGCCCGGCCTTCGCCTTCTCCTGTCGCTGCCGGCCCCCCTGCCGCAACCAAACCGCGCGCCACCCCTGCTGCTTCACCATCCTCGCCGGCCACACGGCCTCCACCCCGCTCCCCTGCCCCCACCCCGAATCAACCCGCAGCACCTTCAGCACCTTCCCTTCCACCTTTCGTCAGTGCTGTTACAGCTGCACGAGCGGCGCCCAAGGTTGCTGCACCTGCCGCGCCCCTCGCCGTTCCTAAGCCAAGACCGTCCGCTCCTCCCATCGCCCTGCCTCGCGCCGCGCCGCCTCCTCCAAAGCCTGTAGCGCCGCCCGCGCCAGCGGCGGTTACGCCTTCGGCACCCCCGGCAGAGGTGAAGGCGGAACCGCTGGCAGGGCCGAATGTGATGAACGTGGTGATGGTGGCGAGCGAGTGCGCGCCCTGGTCCAAGACCGGCGGCCTCGGGGACGTCGTCGGCGCGCTGCCCAAGGCCCTGGCGCGCAGAGGCCACCGCGTCATGGTGAGTGCGGGCGGTGGGGGGAAGGGGTTTTCGGAAGAGTTGGGGGTAGGGCGAAGGGGGAACGGAAAAGTGAGATAGGATGTTTCGCAGGGGAATCACAATAAAAAGACTGCTGGTGACTATGCGAAGGGTATGTTGGCCGTGCCGTGAATGTTCAGACGACCAAAAGGGTAAATAATCGAGCATGATGCGCGGTTGTGAAGATGCAGGACCTCTAACGTGCGGTGGTGTGCGTGTGCGTGCGTGGCAGGTGGTGGTGCCTCGCTACGGCAACTACGAGGGGCTGGAGAGCACAAACGTTCGCAAGAGATTCAACGTCGCAGGCCAGGTGCTCATTGCCCCCCATGCCTTGCTGTGCCCACGCGCATGCGCACGCGATTCCATGCGCATGCTATGCCATGCCGTGTCTAAGCATGCGTATGCACGTCGTTGTGTTGGTCGAAGCGTGTGAGGTATCATAACCTCAGCCCGCGGGTACCGTCTGTGCGCGCGGTCGCCCCGTGCAACAATGCAAGCACCCACCACATTGTCGATTGCGATCGTGTGAGTGTGCTGCCTATGGTCGATTCTGATGCGATTGTCTGTGTGCGTGTGGTGGCGGCATGCGTGTGCGTGTGGTGGTGGCAGGACATGGAGGTGCTGTACCAGCACAAGTACGTGGACGGCGTTGACTTCGTCTTCATCGACCACAACTGGTTCCACCACCTCAACCAAAACATCTACGGCGGCTCGCGCGAGGTATCGTGTTACCACCCGCCCCGCACGTCCCCATTGCTTGTGTTGCGGCACGCATTCCTTGCTGCTCCGGGCGGCACATCACTCGTGTGTGCGCGGCCCTTTCCACTGCTGCCGTGTGTCCTCACCGCCATCCCCTCCTTGTGTGCGGATCTCTGCCTTTGTGTGGGGGAAGGGGGGCTTTGCGTATGCGTGCATGTGGGTGCGCTTGTTTGCCTGTGCATGCGAGCTGTTTGCGAGTGTATGTCGTGCATGTGCGTTGTGTGTACTTGTGCCTGTTGTACGTGCTGTGTGTTGTGTGTGCACGCCCCTTCAACCGCAATCAACAGGAGGTGACCAAGAGAATGATTCTTCTCTGCAAGGCAGCCATCGAGGTATGACCCCTGCACCACTCCCTTCCGCACCTCCTTCCATTACCACCTTCCTCGCCCCATGTCCCTTGTTGGCCCAGGTCAATGACCCCCTCCCCCCTCGCTACTCTAACCTCCCTGCACGTGTGGCTGCAGGCGCCGTGGCACGTGCCATGCGGGGGGGTGTGCTACGGGGACGGCAACCTGGTGTTTGTGGCGAATGACTGGCACACAGCACTGCTGCCGGTGTACCTGCAGGGGTACTACCGCGACCACGGCATGATGGAGTTCACGCGCTCCGTGCTGGTCATCCACAACATGGCCCACCAGGGTCGCGGGCCCGTCGCCGAGTTCCCCTGGCTGGGCCTGCCGGAGCACTACATAGAGCGCTTCCGCCTGTACGACCCGGTGGGCGGCGAGCACATGAACATCTTCATGGCCGGCATCATCAGCGCCCAGCGCCTCGTCGCCGTCAGCCGCGGGTACGCCTGGGAGGTGCAGACGCAGATGGGCGGGTGGGGGCTGGATGGCGTGCTGCGCGAGCATGCAGGCAAGCTGCGGGGCGTGGTGAACGGCATAGACACGGTGGAGTGGGGGCCTGAGAGCGACGTGCACCTGGTGGACGACAATGACGGGCGCTACGGGTACATGCACTACAACATCGACACTCTCGAGGAGGGCAAGGCCGCCTGCAAGGCTGCCCTGCAGCGCGAGCTGGGGCTGCCTGTGCGCGCTGACGTGCCGCTGCTGGGGTTCATAGGGCGGCTGGACTACCAGAAGGGCGTGGACATCATCGCCGAGGCCATGCCGTGGCTCACCCAGCAGGACGTGCAGCTCGTCATGCTGGGTACCGGCCGCGAGGACCTGGAGAACGTGCTGCGGGAGATGGAGGGCAAGCACAAGGACAAGGTGCGCGGGTGGGTGGGCTTCTCCGTCAAGATGGCCCACCGCATCACCGCCGGCTGTGACATCCTGCTCATGCCCTCGCGCTTTGAGCCCTGCGGCCTCAACCAGCTCTATGCCATGCGCTACGGCACCGTGCCCGTGGTGCACGCGGTGGGCGGGCTGAGAGACACGGTGACGGCCTTTGACCCCTTCAACGACTCAGGGCTGGGGTGGACGTTTGACCACGCGGAGGTGGGTGGGCTGGTGCACGCGCTGGGCAACGCCATCTACACGTACCGCGACTACCGTGACTCGTGGCGGCGCCTGCAGCGCAGAGGCATGGCGCAGGACCTGAGCTGGGACGCTGCTGCTGTGCAGTACGAGGAAATCCTCGTAGAGGCCAAGTACACGTGGTAGCCACGCACAGGGCGGGACGGGTGCGTGTGCTGCCAGGGGGACGTGGCTTGTGAGGAAGTGGTTGCTTGGGAGTGACATGGAATGCACCAGGATGAATTGCTTTGGGGATTTTGTTGCTCCAGTTGTGGAAAGAGCTTGTGCTCTTTCCTCTTTGTTTTACGGTACATTGACGATCCTGTCATCCAAGTGCTCATTGAAGTGCATTGCCTGCATGCTGCATCAGCCAGGCTCGTAGTGCTTGTGCACGTGCAGAGAAGCCTTATATGTTGGACTCGCTTTCTTGTTGATGCCCGTTTGTATCATCATATTGACATTGAAGTATGGTACCAGTATAAATTGTAATGTGTTTTTTATGCTGAAAAAATCATGTACTAAAATGAGTGTGAAGTGAATTCAGGAGCCCAAAAGATGAGTGGGCTATTCAGCAGTCCAGTCATCCCTGGCAGGGTTGGTGTGAGCGTTGTTGTTGAAGAGCAGAGGTGCAGGCACTGCATGGTGCTCCACCACTTGCACTGGCACCTCCGGCTTGGCGTCCAGCCTTATGAACCCCTTCCCCGTCTGCTCACCCCCCCACCCACACACAGGGAAGACATGCATACAGGGAAGGCATGCATATAGGTAAGGCACACACACACACACACACACACACACACACACACACAATGAAGAGGCACACACAGGATGGTAGTACACCCACGGGATGGTAGTTCACGCACGCAATGTATGGAACGCACACACAGGTATTTCAACACAAAAAAGGTATGGGAGGAAGCAACTAAATGTGTCTGAAAGGGCAAACATTAGGGAGAGGGGAGGGAACATAGGTAACAGTGGGATCATAGGGTGGCGGAGGGAAGCATGAAGAGAGGGGCAAGGCGAAGAAGCAGTAGGGGCGTACCGGGCAGTGTGGGCCGTCATATTGCAGGTGTTGGTAGTAGGAGGTGGCTTGGTGGTGCTCAGGGTCATGCACCTCTGGCGTGCCACTGGGACACACCGGCTGCCATGCCCCATGCACCGCACGGAGGCGCACCGGGGACACGCACATACAGGCAAGGGGAAGAGGCACGAGCATGGGAGGACGAGGGGAGGGAGGGGGGGTGAGAAGGGGAGAGGAAGGGCGGAGGTGCAGTGGCAGCGGTGGTGGAAGGGATGCAGGGCAGGCATAGCGAAGTGCATGTTGGAGATACATGTCGCGTGTGCCGCCTCAGCATGCCGCCATGGATGACTCAACCACTCCCACTGCCGCTGCGTCACCACATTCCCCGCGCCATGCCCCTACATCCCCCCCAGCGCACCCACCTCCGCGTGCGCCACGAGGTGCGCCAGCGCGCGCCTCTCCGGCAGGTCCACCGCCACCGCGTCGTCCGCGCCGAACACCCCCTCGCCCTCGCCCGCCTCGCTGCGACTGGGCTTGGCCGCGCGCCGTGGCGCCTGCGCCTGGAAGTACTGCTCCACCTGCGCGCGGGGCACGCCCCGCCAGCGCATGCCCACGCGGAAGGGGGAAAGGGGTCGCGTGGAGGAATGGGCGAGAGCGTGGAGGTGGTAGGACCACGGGGATACGTTTGTACGGGGGCGCCGTGGCTGGCCATGCGCGGCTTGCGAGGACTCATGGTTCGGACAGCCGCAAGGAGGGAGACGCGACGCAAAACCGGCGGCCAGATTCATGTGCGCGCACGTGACGGTGGTGGGTGGAGCGCAAGGCGCCTGCATGAGGCGGCGACACGCCGCGCCGCGCTCACCTTGGCCGTGGCCGCTGCCTGCTGCTCCGGCGGCAGCACCTCGTCGCTGCGCGATGGCTTCACGCCGCTCACCGGCCACATCGCGAATCCCGCAGCGGGCTTGCTCGACCGTGCCGGTGCAGCGGGAGGTAGGGAACGAGAGCGTGAGTCGCGGAGCGGCGGAATTAGAGAAAATGGCGGGGTAGCGTTCTAGCGGTGATTTGGAAGGCACAGCCTGGGATGCGATCTGAGCAGCTCAAGCTGAGACGATTTCGAGGTGTGCGTGTGAGGGTGTCTCCTGCCAGTGAGTGACAAGCAACACTAGGTTCCCGAAACTTCCATCGCGCTCGGGATCTGACAGTTTCAATGGCCTGTTCTTGCCTAGGTATGCTACTATTAACGTGTTATTTCTACAGCTCATAGCAAGCAATATGATCATTCCATCTATAAACTGGAGCCACGAATTCGTCTTTTCCACATAGCGAGAGGGGAGTGGAGGGGCAAGGGTGAACGAAGCCAAACAGTGCAGGTTCACACTCGTTTTGAGACACAGAAGGAGGCACAGGGCTCCTGGGGCAGCACTCGCAGCAGGTGTGGGCCGGCAGGGGAGTGGCTGATGGTGTCGGGATTGATCTGGGGCAGGTGCAGCACGGGTGGCCGCACAAAGCCCGACTTCACCGGCAGGCAGTGCAGCGACAGCAGGTGCTTGGCCCCGCGCCCCAAGGGCAGGCGCAGAAAGCCCTTGCGCCGCCCCGCTATCATCCAGTCGTCCCCACTCACCCGCACCTCAAACTCCACCTCCTCGCCCTCCCCTCCCTCCCACGCCTCCTGCTGGGGGGTAAGAGCGGGGCGCCGTGGGGAAAGACAGGCCCAGTAGTCAGTGGTGTTATGGCAGGTCACACATAACCCCTCAACCAGCAGCAGTGCAGCTCCATGGGCATGAAACACAGGAAGCTTTCAACTCGCAGGCGAGCAACCAGAGAGAAAGTCACAGAGTTTGAAAGGCAAGGGGGGAGTGAGCAGCGTACCTGGTGCGAGGGCGGCAGGAGGAGGCCGTCTATGAGGCGTTCAATGCGCCACTCCAGCACCAGCACACACCCCACCCGCGGGGCGATGCTCACTGCACTGGCTGGCGTGAGCAGCCCCACCGCCAGCACTCGGTCCGTGACAGGCATCTGCAGCACCACTGCATGCCGGTACACTGGCACCACACCCCCGCTCACCCCCCTCCCCTCCTCCCCCTCCACCACCGCCTGTCCTCCCCCATCTTCTCTCTGCCCCACGCCCACGTCGTCTGCGCCACCTCCCAAGCGTGCCCCCTCGCCTCCTCTCGTGCGCGCCCACAGCGGTGTGGCGACGGGCGTGTGGGCGCCGTGCAGGCGCTCGCCCTGCACCTCGTAGTGCACGCGCAGCTCACTCACGCCCTCCATGCCCCCCTCCCTCTCGCCCTCCTCTCCACCCGCCTGCCCGTCAGGCACTTGAAGGCGCGCCGCTGCAGCGAGGCAATGAGGAGCAGGGAGGGAGAAAGGCAGGCGGGGAGGGGTTGAGCATGCGATAGCAAGGTGGTGGCACGGAGTTGCGTGTGGTGTGGCCCTGATGCACACATGGCCACACACACTCGAGTAGGGGGAGCCGCGAGCACAGAGAGCAACCGGTTCCTACACGCACTGGGGGAAAGGGGTGGGACAATTGCGCGCAACAGAGAGCTAAGAGACAAGGGGAGAATGACGCGGAAGGGGGAAGCAAGGGGGAGGGAATATGTGCAGGACAACGCAAACGAAACCATTGCAGTGCAGAGTTAGACAAGGCGGCAAGGAGGCAGAGAAAGAGACGGAGAGAGGAGAGAGGAACAATGCAAACGAAAACAGTACTGGAGCGCAAGGGTATTGGAGGGCAACGAGTGAGAGGGAGTGAGCATGCACCTGTTCTTGGAGCAGCCTTAGAGGCAGCAGCGGGCGCTTCCCCCGGTGGTCGCAGTGAGAGTGTGAAGAGCAGCGTGCCTGAGAGCAGCGGCCCCACGTCCAGCAGTGGAGCGGGGGCGGACGGGCTCAGGGCAGAGGCGGCGGCAGCAGAGGTGGTGAAGGCGGCAGCAGCGGCGGTGGAGAGGAGGGAGAAGCCGGGCTGCAGGCGCAGCGATGCGGAGGCGATGCGCAGCGTGCAGCGCAGGTTGGAGTGCAGGGACATCTGTGGGGCGTGGAGCACGGGGGGCAGCGCAGCGAAGTGGAAGGGGAGGGTTCAGCGGTGCAAGGCACGGATCGGCAAGTAACACAGCATTGCACCGAATCCAGTGCACGCTCAAGTGAGAGACAAGGTAATGAAGTGAGGCAGAGCAGGATGAGGGGTGAGGAGTGACCTGGAGCAGCATTCTGGCGCCATCGGCCCCTCTGCTGACGACTCTGGTGGCCACGTGGAAGGGCTCCACGAACTGGAACGTCAACACCCTGTGAGCGCACATGCACCGCCACACACACGTGCACACATGGTGAGAGGAGCGCGGAGAGAGCACGTGAACGACACACAGGCAGAAGCAGGTGGATTACGACGGAGATTGGTTGGGCAAGAAAGCGACAAGCATTGGAGCGCAGCGAGAAGGAGAGAGTGTGGTGGGAGGACATACTTTTCAAAGACACGGCTGCGAGGCGTGCCATACTCCACCACACATCGCACCACACGCACTGCCACCACTGACGCCGCCCCCGCCTGCCCCCTCGCCCCGCCTGTTCCCGTGGCCTGCTGCGGTGCACTGTCCCCTGACGGGCTGCCGTCCCTGCTGCTCCTGCTGCTCACGCTGCCGATGCTGCTGCTGTTCCAGTCCGTGGAGGAGAAAGATGCTGATGATGACATGCCCTCCACTCCCCCTGCCTGCTGCCGCTGCTGGGAGCTGGTGGGGGAGGAGGAAGGCGAGGAGGCAGCAGGCACGAGCACAGGGGGCGAGGGGCGGTCGCGGAAGGCGCAGGCCTGCACCCACACGACAGTGGGGGAGTCAGCGCACCACGACGGCAGGTGCAGCGACCCCGCCACCATCGCCACTGCCTCGCTGCCCCCCTCCGGCACCTCTCCGTCGCCCGCCTTGTCCTTGCCCGGCTGGCGCAGCGCCGACGGGTATGCGGGCGGCAAGCGCTGGCACTCGACGGTCTGGTTGGGCGGCAGCAGCAGGCCGGGCCCGCCTGCTAGTCTGAGCAGCGAGCCGGCGAGGGAGTAGGAGAGCGGGTGCAGCAGCAGCCCCAGCCACTGCGGCTCGCCCAGCAGCAGTGGCTGATCCACCACTGGCGCCATGTCCAACAGATGGCGCGATGGTGACACCTGCGCTCACACACACACACACAGGATACGGGCCGTGGCAAGCAGGAACCCCATGGCAATATCATCAACATTGCATTGCACGTCATAGGAAGGGCAGGAGGAAGCAAGAGGGCATGGGCAGTGCAGGCAGCAGCAGCAGCGGGGGGAGCAGTGGCACCTTGAGCACGGTGCGCAGAGTGCGCTCGGACGTGAGGTAGTCCTCTGCCTCGGGTGGGCCGCCCTTGATGGTGGCGGAGCTGGAGCGGAAGCGCACGCGCCCACAGTGCCCCATGAGCATGCCCAGCACGTACACGCCCTGCCGCTTCGCCACCGCCACCACCTGCACCGTGTTGGCCCCCGGCTGCAGCACCACTGGCGCTGGCTCACTCTTCATCTGCACCCCCCCGCCCACCCCACACACACATGCACGTGTGGCAGGGCACGGTTGCAAACAGTCATCAAATTAGCAGCGAAGTTTTGTTGTGAACGCAATGCGAGGCAAGGGATTGGGAATTGAGAACCTTGAGCAATGAAATGGGTGGGTGCGCAGAGTGGGCGTGTGTGCTTGGTGTGATTCGTTGGGGTGGGGATAGCGAGGCTTACCCTGATGCCATCCTCTGCTGTGAAGAGAGGCGGGGTGACGAGGGAGAGCACGAGAGAGTCCAGTGCGAGGGGGGCAGGCATGGAGCTCCAGACAGCGAGGGACAGCGACACCACGTCCCCCTCGCCCAGCTCCAACGCCTTGCTGCCCGCCCTGCCTGCTGGGGACGCTGGCGCAGCGGCAGCAGGCGAGGTAGCAGGCGATGCAGAAGCCGCGGGAGTGTGGGGGGCGAGGGAGAAGGAGAGGAGGGAGGAGACGTCGACAGAGACGGGTTCTTCCAGTCGCGAGCGCGCCACCTCGACCATCTGGCGCTGCACCTTGCTGCGCTCGTCCGCGGGCACGAGGGAGGGCCCCAGTGACAGCAGCTTGGTGCAGGAGCCCAGGAAGGCGGGCAGGTCGCGCATGAGCAGCTGGCAGTGCGAGAGGCGCGGGAAGAGGTCCAGCAGCAGGTGGTGCCAGCGCGCTGCGCTGTACGCGGCGTTCTGCTTCTCGTACACCTTGAGCGCCAGGTCAAAGCGCCCCGCCGCCTCGTGCAGACTGCCCACCTCCGCGTCCAGGGCCACAGCATGGCGCAGCCACAGCGAGCGC